AGATGGACTAGCAACTTCCTACCAGCAAGCGGGCGACCCCAGACTGCACCAAATTACTTCACTTGTACAACACGGTGAAAGAGAGAGAGCACATGAGAGGGGGGAGGGTCAGAGGAAGAAACAGACTCCCTGCTGAGCAGGGAGCCCGATGCGGGACTCGATCCCAGGACTCCAGGATCATGACACCTGAGCTGAAGGCAGTCGCTTAACCAACTGAGCCACCCAGGCGCCCTACAAGTTTCACTTCTATTCACTATTTTCATGGAGGCAAGATTTCTCTACCTTAGAAATTAACATATTTATTTTGACATGAATTCTTTTTTTTCTAAGCACATTCATGACTTATAGTCTGCTTTGCTAAAAAACTGGCGGAAAACAGGTCAGATTAAACGTGTCTAATCACAAATACATGCGTGCATGTGTGTGCACGCACGCGCGCTCACACACACACACACACACACACACTTGGGTAAAGAGCTAAAATGGCATTGGAGATCATTCATATCAACCCCTCCATTTTTTTTCAGATTTTATTTGTCAGAGAGCAAGAGAAAGAGAGGGAATACAAGCAGGGGGAGCGGCAGGCAGAGGGAGAAGCAGACTCCCCGCTGAGCAAGGAGTCTGATGTGGGGCTCAATCCCAGAACCCTGAGATAATGACCTGAGCCAAAGGCAGACGCTCAACCATCTGAGTCACCCAGGCGCCCCTCAACGCCTTCATTCTTACAGATGAGAAAACTGAGGCCCAGAATGACTGGATCAGGCTGATGGCTGAGAACACACAGTGTGGGCCCCTTTGCTTCTCCAGTCTAAGAGCAAGACGTCCATCACCACGTGTGTCAGACTTGCCTGGGAAACTGGCTTACAGATGGACTAGCAACTTCCTACCAGCAAGCGGGCGACCCCAGACTGCACCAAATTACTTCACTTGTACAACACGGTGTATTATAACACTGCACTCTTTTCAAGTGCAGACAACCTCTCCATTACCACGGAAACGCTATGCGATCCTTGAACAACTGGAGATGGATCTCTAGCAGGTATTTCCATCCCCAACCTCTGCACCCTCCCCCTTGCCTTTCCTCACAGCCACTCTCTGGGTTGCTATCACCCCAGGACAGACAGAAATGACCGGGCACAGTGACGAGCAAAGTCCCTGATTCTGGCTTTCTTGAGTAATTTTTGCTAAAGGTGAAGACATGCCCCTGTTCACTGACTAACCCTCTGCTTTGTGCAGCACAAAGGAAGAATTCTGTCCTCAAATATGATGGAAAGAGTAACTACTCTGGAGCTAGAGTCCCAGATTGGAATCTGAACTCTGATCCTTACCAGCCCTGGGCAGCCTGGGGTGCCTGAGCCCTCTGAACGGCTGTTCTCAGTGAGAGGTGAACTAAGACCACTTATTTTTCTGAGGGAAATGAGGGTAATTTATGTAGTGTTTAGAAACATGGTCATAGAAAGTACTTAAGTTAAAAGCATCACAACTTTTAACTAAGTCCAGTTTTTCAGAATTTCAATACTGCACCAAAGAGAGCTCCCTGCTGTTTTACTTATTTTACTGTCCTTTAAGGAATGGGACCATTATACTGCTACAATGTAAAAATGCAATTAATTGAGGTATTTGAAAGTATCCCCCCTCTTCTGTTTTCCAAGAATTTCTTTAGAATCCCAATGGTATCTATGACTTTTAGTCACCAGTTATTCCCAGAAAATGTCCATTGTACTCACAAGGCCTAAGGCTGCCCCGGCTATTAAATTAGGCAGTTGGAAAGTGCATAAACTCTTTCAAGCCCTAGGTTGTTTGCCAACAGTCTGAAAGAATTTATATACTTCCCTAAATGCCTAACTTACTGGAGGGAGTCCGGCCTTAGGAGAACTAGGGCCATAAGGTGAAGAGGCTGCCCAGAATTGCACTCAAGGCCATGAATTCACTGCCTACCTAAACAATGACTTATCACACCTGCCTAGTCTTGGCTTGTTGGCTTCTAGGCGCCAGGGCTGATGTTGCTCCTTGCTCATTCTGCTCTAGACACACTGCCTAGCTCTTGGTGCTCTTCTAATACACCAACCTGTTCCCACCTCAAGGTTTTTTGCATTCTTTCCTCTGTCTACTCCTCTTCATTTGCCTGCTGTAAGACTCATAGTACTTAACAATACCTGACATTTTTATTGTATAATTATCTTCCTCCTGTAGTCCCCTTTAGAGCAAGAACTCAGTCTTACTCATGTGGAATCCCCAGTGCCTAGAAAAGTATCTGAGGTTTAGTGGGTATTTGTTGCATAAATGAATGAGCAAATACTAGTGCTGCCACTCATTGTCACAGCATCCCCACTGGGAGGCTACATTGAGGTCATGTCCACGAGTACTGCACTGACTTGTGCAGACAGCCCAGGAGGCTGTCCAGGCCATCCCACTGTAAGGAGAGAATGTGAGCTGTTTCCATACACCCACTGAGGACATGAGGGCACAGTGCCCTGTCTGGATCTCATGCACAACCAATTCCTAGTTTCTAGTAGTATCTATCTGCTACCTCCTTACCCCAACAGCCTGCAGGAATTATAGGCCACCACCTCCCCTTCATTAAAAACACTTCCACTCTTAATATTTCCACCAGAGAACCAAACAGTATCTTCTATGATTAATTTTTTCTGTTAGGGAACAATTTACTGTTTCTATTGCCCATCAGAAAGATTTGTTAGGATTCCTGGCAATCTTCATAAATTGCTGGTACAAAGGAATAACAGGAACCATGAGGCAGAGGAAAGTATCTGGATCAGCACCAGAGAATGGGAGCTAGATCATACCCTAGAGATCATCTATTAGCCCAGGACCTTCATTTTACCAACGAGGAAACCGAGGCCCAGGGCAGTACACATGACGTAGCTGAAGCTCCAAACAGAGGAGAAATGAAGGGGCACAGACTCTAAGTCTCTGCTATGCAAAAGCCTGTGCCCCTCCCCAGTCCAGGACATCCTTCTGTTTGCTTTCTATATGATTTCCAAATGAAAATACTCATCCGGTTACTTATATTAACCATTCACTTTCATGTATTTCCAGGTAAGGAAGAACCTGTGAAAGTGATGTTGGCTTAGAGGGGAGGGAGTTTTTTAAATTAAAATTGCTTGTCTGGTGCTCTAATACCATCGTCCTAATTAAGGGATTCCACAAGTAATGTATTAACCCACATCAAAACCTAAGAGTAGCATTTGACATATACAGAAGACAAACTAATCTATATCACTGCATTTACTTTTGAAATAACTATAAAACAAATCACATACGCTTTCAGAGAAAATGCTAAGCCCGTATTTTATAACTAAGTCATTTGTTGTTTTTATGACTCATCACACCAAAGGATTTCAGAAATAACAGGAGAAGATGAAATGAAAGCTTGATCAAGATAACCTGTTTATTATTAATCTTCCTAGCTGGTTCACAAAAATTGCTCAATTCTAGCAGTAAAAAGCATGTTTCCTTAGAGATATTTCTTTCTCAGAAGATCCTAACCACAAAAATAGGGGACAAAGAAAACAAAAATGATGGGACTACTTTCCAAACATCTGGCTAGACACTACCTTTGCCAAAAATTTTGCAAGTGAGAAGGTAACCTATATAATTACTGGTTTCAGGGGTGCCTGGGTGACAGTCGGTTGAGTGTCCGAGGCTCTTAGTTTCGGCTCAGGTAATAATCCCAGGGTCGTGAGATCAAGCCCTGCGTTGGGCTCTGGGCGGAGTCGACACTCTCTCTCCCTCTCCCTCTGCCCACCCGTACCCCCCCCTCCTGATCGCTCGCTCTGTCTCTCCCTCTAAAATAAATAAATCTTAAAAAAATTACTGGTTTCAGTACCACCTTACTTTACAATGAAAACTTAAAGGAAAAAATTGGGTAAGCATATATTTTGAGGAAAGGTGAGCAGTGAAGATAGGAATGAATAGGTACATGTGTCATATATATCTCTACTTCAAAAAAAATCAGAAAACTTATAGTAAAAGATAAAGCAAGAATATCATTAAATCCCACACGGAGGAAAGTTAAAAGTCAAAGAAAAGGAATGAGAAACAAAACCCTTAGTTATCACAATTACAGTACTCGGGCATTAAATTTAGCTCTGGGTTTCCTGGAAATTAAAGCCAAAATGGGAAATTAAACAGCTTATATAATTCTTCTCTGATAAAAAGAAAGCATGGTGGTTCATGAGAATTTATTCATTTTTTCCTGGAGCTGAATTCTAGGAGGGATTTGTTGTCCTTGTGCAAAAAAACCTTGAACCCACAGATAATGGGTTCAATGTATCTGTAGAAGCAGCACAAATGTTCATGGCACCATCTCAAGAAACTAGAGTGAAAAATAACCCTTCAAGGTAGGTTTATAGATGTCCATTTACTTTCTGTTTTTTTTTTTATTCCTTTAAAAATTCATGGCCTCACTGAAGATGAGGCCATACATATCAGGTGTCACCTACAAAACACTAAGAGTATAAATCAAGCACTGTTTAACCCCTAAAATACAGAGGACTTTCTGAGAAGTGAACAACTCTCGTGGGTCTTTATGAACAACAATCAGAAAAACCTGAGAGAGGTCTTGAAACTCTGGTCCAAATGCCTTGCAGCTTGTAGACTTTGTTTTAATTAATAGAATCTGTCAGAGAGCTCAGGCTCTTAAGAGTCCTTCTATTACTGTTCTGGTTTATTTTGCACTGGAAGGTGTGAAGAGGGGAAAGGTTTGAAGGGGTTTGGAATGGCAACCGTTCTTTAAAGTTAAAGTAAATGGATATCCATCTACCTCCTTCAATATTTCTTCAAATGGAGAAACAGTAAATGAACTCACCTTCAGAATCTCTTCAACACAATGAACTTCATTGGAGTAGGTCTGCTGAAAGTGAAAAACAAGAAGGAAAAGCTTAGCACAAGCAAACAACTCAAGCGATGGTTATTAGGGGATGCTGGGATTCACACAGCAACCCTCTTGCAAAGGCAATCACCTCGGGGCCACCTTTTACTGGTTAAGTAGTAGGAGCTTCACATTCTGGAGAAAACAAGACCAGAGATCAACCTGACTTAATGGGCGGGGAAAGGGTTCTGCTGGAGACAACAGGAGGACAATTCGGACCGTCAGGTCAAAGTTTCCAAAGGAAAATGTGTATCTTAAAGAAAATCAGTAAATTAGTGAATCTAGGGGAATAACAGACCTAACAAAAGTGGAGGCAGAAAGAGAGAAAACCGGGGTCACAGCTTGCGGCTTCATAGCAACATCTATCCAGCCAGCCAAGGAAAATGAACACAGGGATGGAAATCATCTGGACACCTCAGTGAGCCCACAGTAAAGAGGCTAACATCGAATCAAGGACAGATTAGATTTTGGGGGTAATAATCTAGCCAGCCAAAGACTGTCTTTTAAAGTAATGACATTCACTCTAATGTCTCTACCCCTCCTTCAAGTCAGCATTTTCACAGTATATATGCACATGTATATACATGCATGTGTACACACATACACAGATTTCCTGTCTTGGATGAAAGATCTACTATTTATACTTCTTCCTGATTCCCAGCTTAACAAATGATGGCTGTTGCTGCTAGTATAACCACCACAGTGTCTAGGAAATGCCATATTACAGTCCTTATATTTTTAAGTGCAAAGAAAATGGAGAAGTTAAAAAAAACGAAACAAAACACCATTTTCCCTTAACTAGAGACATGAAACAAATCCCATGACCTTATGATTTTCACTGGAAAAGCAACTTTTTGCTCTGTGTCAATTCAGAGCCAAGTGCCCTGGGCAAGTTCTGTACAACACACACACCCCTCCTGTGGACCAGACCTAAAGCACTGGTCTTCCCAGTCCCTCGGGTCCAATACCTGCCTCACAGCTGGAGAGAACATGAAAGGGTTCTTTTCCTGGCTCTCATTTCTAATCTGAGTGTAATTTAATACAGCATTGGTTGCCAATTCCTGATCTAGGATTCATTAACCCACCATTTCAGTTTAAGGATGAAGGAAAAGGAAAGAAAAGAGCACACAACATTCACTGTCGTGGGATCAAATCGAACGGACATGTCAATGTTCAAATGTAATTTAACCTGCCTGGGTCTGGTTTTAAAACATGTAAATTTCATGGAAACAATTTTGTTGGAATTTTTGCAGTTTCATATTTTTGAGGAAGTTAGAAGGTATAACCAAAGAATCAAGGGTATCACTTTTATCTGCATCCTATCAGATCTGCCTTTAGGCATTCTGCATGTCACTAACTACATTTCCTTACCTGCTTTTTGTTTTTCAAAACCACTAAGAGATGCCTAAAAACTGGACCAAACACTAATAACCAAACATTTTAGTACAAATGTCAGAAACAGAACTGAATGCTATTTTGACCTGAGGGTAAAATGTAATACTCCTCTATGGTTTCAATTTTTCACATGCATCATTAGGAAAAGTAACAATTATAAGTTGAAGGTGAATCAATACAACAGAGCATATAGCATATTACTACCGACTCTGGTCAAACAGTCCCCTCATCCCCCATCTGTTCCTGGAATGAGAATGGGAATCCAAATAACGTGTTTGGGAATCAATGAAATAGTGAAGCATGTTGGAATGAGAGAGAAGAAGATTTGCCCACCGCTTCCAACAGAATGAGATGAGAAAGCTATGACTTTAGGATGCTAAAAGGCTTTCCAATCTTTGTAATTATTCAAGGAGTCAACACTTAGCCAAGATGCTTCGTGTCACTAAAAGATTCTTTTTTTCTAAAGCTTTGTTACATGACATGAAGCAGAACTGAAGAAATTTTTCTATAGCTCATATTAATAACTGGGTAAGATAAATATTGCTAACTAGTCAACATTTAACCCACTTAAAATTGTAAATAAGGTCTTAGGTTCAAGCATTAATTTGTTAATTTACTGTGAATTTTCCTATTAGGTCCACTATGAGAGTGGGGATATTTCAAAAGAGTGCAGGGATTCCATTCCAAATACATGAGGATATTATCATATTTAAAGACCTCCACACAGCACTGTTTATAATGGCAAATAACTGGAAATAATCAAATGCCCCAAAATAGTCTGGCTAAAGACCTTCACAGTACATCCACACAGCAGTATGTTACAGAAAATTAAAATAATAATGTAAATGTATGGGCTTCCATGGAAAGATACTCAAGATATTTTCAACTTTTTCTTTAGAAATAATTTTATACTTACAGAAAAATTACGAAAATAGAAAAAAATTCCCACAAACCCTTCACCCAGATTCCCCAAATGTCGGCATTCTACCACATTTGTTTTTTATTTTTCTCCCCCACCCATCTACACTGAACTCTTTAAAAGAGTAAGTTAGAGTTGGGGCGCCTGGGTGGCTCAGTCGTTAAGCGTCTGCCTTCAGCTCAGGTCATGGTCCCAGGGTTCTGGGATGGAGCCCCGCATTGGGTTTCCTGCTCAGCGGGAAGCCTGCTTCTCCCTCTCAACCCCCTCTGCTTGTGTTCCCTCTCTCGGTGTCACTCTCTGTCAAATAAAATCTTTAAAAAAAAAAAAAAGGAAAAAAAAAGTTAAATGCCCCTTTACCCTTTACCTATACCTCTGTGAGTACCAAGATATATTTTTAAAACTGTATTTAACAGAGGGGAAGTTCCAAGATAGCTTGTATAAAATGAGCCCATTTTATGTTCCATCTACCTGAGATTCAGATCTCTACTCGTCTTCCGACCCAAATTAGAGACTCTTAAACCAGAGTATAGGTATTTCAAATGTGTCTGCAGAGAAAGATCTGTAAGGACAGGCTCCCTTGTTTAATAAAATACAGTCTGGCACCTTCAAGTCTGCCACTGGAAGGAGACCTTCCAAAAAGGGAGGGGAAGTTCAACAAACCATTATGGCCTAATCCCTTCCTTAAAATCCACTTTGGCCATAGGGTCTCCAGCTGAGTTGTGCCACTCCTGCCTTAAAGAAGCCAGGCATCTTTGGAACAAACCCTGCAGCCCAAGAGGAAGTAAACAGCCTCTCTAAAGCACAGCCTCGTTAAGGCTGAAGATCTTCAGGTAAGACCTCCACAAAGAATAAGAAGTGACAAAAAAGCAACAAGAGGGAAAACCTGTGCTAGCTGCACGAATCAGGAAGTTCTACTTTGCATGTCCTTCCTCGTCCAGCTCCCGCTTCCGTGGTGTAGACAGTGACTTTAGCACTGAAAACCACAAATCCCACTGCCCTCTCTCATATTCAACAGCTAGGTTCCTAGGAGCTGCTCTTCCCTCCTGCCCACTTGTGGCTACCTCACAAATCTGGTGTCCTGTGTGTAGACTGACCTCATTTCCCTACTAGGGTATGGCCTTAACATAGGAACCATAATTCTATTCAATTAAAAATAAAATGATAGCAGCTACTTACTGAATACATATTGTACCTGACATGGCATTAACCTCTTTACATACTATTATTTCCTTTATTTGATACCATCTGTTGTAAGATGCAACACCATTAGCTCGGCGGGCGGGGGCAGAGAGACTACACTAAATGTCCCCATTGACTGTAGATACAGCCCTCCTTACAGAAACTTAAAAATGAAATACCACAGCTAACATTACATTCAACTGTGAAAAGCTGAAAGCTTCTCCTCTAAGACCAGGAACAAGATGAGGATGCCCACTCTCGCCACTTTTATTCAACATAGTAATTGGAAGTCCTAGCCACAGCAATCAGACAAGAAGTAAAAGGCATCCAAATTGGAAAAAAAGTAAAACTGTCCTTATTTGCAGATGACATACTATATATAGAAAACTCTAAAGACTTCACCCAAAAAACTATTAGAATAAATGTATTCAATAAAGGTTGATATAAAATTAATATACATAAATCTGTTGCATTTCTATATACTAATAACTATCAGAAAGAGAAATTAAGAAAACAATCCCATTTACAATCACATCCAAAAACAAACCCAAACAAAACACCTAGGAATAAATTTAACCACAGAAGTAAAAGACCAGTATTCTGAAAACTATAAGACACTGATAAAGGAAACTGAAGACAACACAAGTATATAAAAAGATATATCATGCTCACAGACTAGAAGAATATTGTTAAAATGTCCATACTACCCAAAAATAAAACATGCATACTACCCAAAACAATCTACAGATTTAGTGCTGTCTCTATCAAAACACCAATGGCATTTTTCACAGAACGAGAACAAAAAGTACTAGAATTTGTATAGAATCAAAATAGACCCTAAATAACCAAAGCAACCTTGAGAAAGAACAAAGCTGAAGGTATCACACTCCCTGATCTCAAACTATACTACAAAGCTATAGTAAGCAAAACAATATGGTACTGGCACAAAAACAGACACATAGATCAAGAGACCAGAATAGAATCCAGAAATATAAAACCATGCTTGTACAGCCAATTAATCTTCAACAAAGGAAGCAAGACTATACAATGGGAAAAAGTCTCTTAAATAAATGGTGCTGGGAAAACTGGACAGCTACATGCAAAAGAATGTAACTGCATCACCTTCTTACATCATACACAAAAATAAACTCAAAATGGATTAGAGACCGGAAACCATAAAACTCCTGAAAAAAACAACAACAAAAAAAACACAGACAGTAATCTCTTGGACATCGGTGTAAGCAATATTTTTTTGGATCTGTCTGCTCAGGCAAGAACAAAAGTAAAGATAAATAAATGGGACCACCTCAAACTAAAAAGCTTTTGCACAGTAAGGGAAACTATCAACAAAACGAAAAGGCAACCTACTGAATGGGAGAAGAGGATATTTGCAAATGACACAGCCAACAAGGGGTTAATACCCAAAATACACAAAGAACTCACAACTACTATCCAGAAAACAACCCAATTAAAAGATGGGCAGAGAACC